GTGTGCCAATCCCTGGCTACACCCCTGATTCTTAGTTGTGTTAATTAGAAGCTTAACTAGCTACCACGAGGGTGGTTGACACTGTTCGGGCAACACATAAAGACCTGTCTTTTTTCTAAAATCATGCAGTTTATTTTGCCACTTGAAGTCCACTGAGCAAAAACCTGAGCAGACTGTCTACTTAGGGCAGGTATAGACCGCGGAGCCGAACCATGAGATTGAAGTAACTAGAAGAATAAAAATTGGCAAGCACTCTCAGATTATGACAGGTAGATTGCCACTATCTCTCAAGAGAAAGGTATATAACAGCTGTATCTTGCCGGTACTTAGCTACGGAGCAGAAACCTGTAGACTTACAAAGAGGGTTCAGCTTAAATTGAGGACGATGCAGCGAGCAATGGAAAGAAAAATGGTAGGTGTAACCTTAAGAGACAAGAAGAGAGCAGAGTGGATTAGGGAACAAACGGGGGTAAAGGATATCATAGCTGAAATCAAGAAGAAGAAATGGACATGGGCCGGGCATGTAGGGCGTAGACAGGATAACCGCTGGTCGTTAAGGGTAACTAACTGCATTCCCAGAGAAGGAAAGCGGGGTAGGGGGAGACAGAGGGTTAGGTGGGCAGATGAGATTAAGAAGTTTGCGGGTATAAATTGGCAGCAGCAAGCACAGGACCGCGTTAACTGGCGGAACATGGGAGAGGCCTTTGTCCTACAGGGGACGTAGTCAGGCTGATGATGATGAGCAAAAACCAGTGTCTGAACTGTGCAATATTTGTGGTGCAGCTAACTTCAAAGAAACCGATAATAGCCGAGGGGTACTTGTGCCGTTATTTGTATTCAACTTGGAGATGTGGGAGTTGCATCGACTACACAGCAGCTCTTACAAAAAGAAAATGGTTCGTGTTTTCTAAGCGGAGCCAAAACAGCTCCAGGAGAACATTTTATCACAGAGAAATCGTAGTGAACCAAAAGAGCGAGGCTTTATCCTCAAGCTAAAATAAAAGGGATCAAGAATTAAAAGCCCATTTCTGAGATTAGGGGGGGGGGGGGGGGTTGGGCTCACGGTAGCTTTTCTTCATACATCTTTTTTTTTTTTGTGAACATGTCTTATTGTATATGTGAAGCTTGGGACACCCACTTTTATATTCCATGCAAAGAAAGTGGTCGAATTCTACTTATGCATAAGATTCCATCACATGAAGAAGAAAATAAACAAGAAAATGAATGCCGAGAAAGTGAGCTTAGCTCTCACGAGTTTGCTTCTTTTTAAAAACCAGTGTTACATACCTTTCGTCGGTGTGCATGCTTGCCCTGAAAACGCTTAAAGAAAGAAAATAAGCTCGAGTGTATTCTTTTTTGCCATTTGACTTCTTATTCTTGTCAATTTACCACGTAATACCCTCCATAACCATTCAAAACCACGGCGGAAAGAAGCGTCGAGCCAGCTTTGGCTACCGTATCTTACCTATGGCAAGATGGCCGCCACGGCTTCACTGCACGCCACTGATATGCATAGGCGACCTCCACTCCAGCAAGATTTATTTAAACCTCCTTCGGCCAATCCATTCATGACACAGGTGCAATGGCCGGCGCAGGCGCACGCAGCGAGGTACAAATACAGAGAAGCTGTATGAAGCCACATGGTCTCATTGTAATGGCTTGTTATTTTCGAAAGTAGTTGTAAAGATAAGAATAAATGTGGTTAAGCATAGATACAAAAGCTTTTGCGAAAGCAGAACAACGAGAGCATGCGCAGGCCGCTATAGAAGGACCGCCGGCGTCGCTATCGATTCTCAGCGTTGCTAGACAAAAGGGCACGTTCGTGTGTTCAAAGCCTTTCAGATAGGAAAAACACTGCTTATAAAATATAAGTGATTCTGGGATCAACTATGGCAGCTACGAACACCACGAAGGGTAAGGTAAACTTTCTGTCACGCCGGAAAAAAGTGGGTCGAAACAGTATACAGTTGTCGGTCCCTTCAACAAGTTTTCAATCTGGCTGTTAACAAGTTTACAAACAGTCAAGCCATCTTCGTTCCTTCAAAAGTTGGTTATTTAAAGAGATTCAATTAAACAATATTTGAGGACACAAAACATAGTTTAACTCCACGCGACAATAAGCAACATGCGTTTAGTCACGTCGTAATTACGTGTTCGGGCATATTTTTAAATTCTGTCTAAAGTTGCGTGGGACACCCTTTATATACGACATTGGTAAATGAGCGGACAACCCCCTTGCCCGTAGGCAGAACTTTTTTTTCGAGGGGTACATAGGAAAAAAGGCACTTTTGAAGGCCTTGAGTAATTTACAAAAACTTACATTTTCATTTTTTTCGTTAAAACATGCTCCCTATTTCAAGGGCCGTCCCTCTCCCCCCTTACTAAGGGCCTAACCGGCCACAACAGGTCACTTGATCTTAGCGTAAATGTAAAGATCACGGATTATAGTCACCGAATAAACCATTATTTTCCGGATCTCTATAGGATTGGTGTCGTCGAATAGCGCTTGAAAGTCACAAAAAATAGAGCTCCTACGTTGAGCTTCCTGGTGGACAGGCCTTGGTGCGCCGCATAGGAGTCGGTCAGATTGCTGAGCATAGTCTATTGTTTAGGCGCACCATATGTGGAGCATAAAATATTACAATATTGTTAAGTCTGTATATTATTAGGCATACCCGCTTTATCCTCTGCTAATTACCATCTTATGCCGAGGTAAAAGGAATTGACGATGAGAAGCAGCGCAACCTTCACAAAAACCCATGCATGTTAATCTTCTGCGCATGCTCGCGGCGTACAGCAGCCCGCTATCAGAAGCTGCCACAACGCAGGCTTGAATTCAAAGGGTTGCATCTTTTAGCCGACGTGTAATCGCTATCGCGCTCTGATTACTATTTGGTACATGTGTTGACTTTATCGGCGCTACAAATCCCAAAATTCCGATAACAGTGTTTCAGGATGTTCTCCGCGTTACCATTTCAATATTACACGTGCTTGTTCGTGAGCTTTCGGCTGCAGTACAAAAAACATGATTGATTGATTTGTGGGGTTTAACGTCCCAAAACCACCATATGATTATGAGAGACGCCGTAGTGGAGGGCAGTACAAAAAAAAAAAACAGGTATACCATCAAAAGCGTTCTACAGTCCCTTTAAGCGGCTGCCAACCAGGAAAGTACACGCTGACTGAAACGTCACATCTCATGAGTTGCCTTACGTACGAGGCGCATGCATCACAATCCCGTACATTTATACAGCACTTGTAATTTGCGTAACATTTTACGTGTGTACGGTATTGCACTTCTGTTATTTCATAGAGTGATGTGCTTATAACGGTTTTTCTTTTAATTTGAAGTACGTATTGTTGCAATTGCAGACAACGCTTCTCCCCTTGGTAAGCTGCTTTCTCGGCATGCTGACAATGCTTGTGAAAAAGCAAATTTTTCGTCCGGTGTACTGGACCGTCTAATACCAAATTGATATTTTCACGTGGTCGTATCTTCGACAATGGCAGCAGTCGGCGTGTTCAAAACAGAACATTTTATTTGGACGAACTTGTGCCAGGGAAAAAAAAAACTACAAGCAATGGACGCTGTACTCAGCCGCCAACAGAGCGTCGCCCGTCGATCTGAGGTATATGGTTAGGCACGTCGACATTTCTACATGCGTCATCGAACGTTCGAGCCTTATAGCTGGTGGCTGCGCTAGTTTCAAAATAAACTCAAATGTTCGCGTTCGCGCGCTGAAGCCAATCAGAAGATACTAAAATAGGGAAACCGTCAACCTTCATCTTTAGGAGGTGAAACACGATATCCTGTCTTTAGTACGTACTTCAACCACTCAGTGCATACTTTTTTTATTATATGATGTTACTTGACAAGTTCAAATTCTGGATTAATACAACGTAATCAATACGTTGACAGTGCCTTGTGTTACTGAAGCTGATTTGATGATTGATGTGTGTGGTTTAACTTCACAAATCTACTGTAGGATTATGAGAGATACCGTAGTGGCGAGCCCCGGAAATTTCGACCACCGGGGTTTCTTTAACATGCTCCCAAATCTGGGCACACGGGCCTGCAGCATTTTTGCCTCGATCGAAAATGCAGCCGCCGCAGATGGGATTTGATCCAGCGACTAGTTGTCAGCAGCCGAGTATGTTAGCCACTAGACCGATGCGGTGGGGTGTCAGTGAAGCTTTCGCATATGGCTGCATTTTGTATAATGGATGACATGCTTTAAACCACGAGCAATTAAACACATGAAATGTTTTCGAACTTGCTATGCACCAACTACGTGGTCTTAAGAAAATACGTGCAGTAACGGGCGTGCCTTTTGTAATGGGTGGCCAGCTTTAAACCACGAAGTCATGAAAATCTCATGTTTTGAAGCCTGATGGCAATGTACACTTTTATACCACCCAATATTACCGTGATATTGGTTGTATTGTGAAGCTTGTATAGCGGACGCCTGTGTTTATAGATAATAAAAGGTGTTTACACTGCATTTCTAAGTATATGAAGGTATTTTAAGCGTACTTCAAAGAAGGCGCGTGGCTGTGTGGTAAAACGTCTGCTTTCCATGCAAACTGCCTGGGTTCAATCCTTATTCGGAGCTGGTAATTACCATTACTTTTTATTTGCATTTTTTTATTTTTCGGTCATGAACAAGACTATATTTGCTCAGAACCAACAACGCCGACGCCGTAATTTTTTCGAAACGAACTCGCTATCACGTTCTCAGACATGCGGGCCCGGTTCGCGAAAGGCAGTGGTCATACGTGGGGGTGTACTGGTTTCAGAAATGCAATAAGGAGCGTGAGTAGCAATATTGTTCTTTCTGAACAGCACTGGTTTCATTTGTATGCGGCTTGACAGGAAACAAACAAACCAACAGTCAAGTTCAGGTACATAGCACATTTTGTAGTCATTCGCTGGGGGCGAAGCTGGACCACTAGCGGCTACGGGTTCATCCTTACGAGGTCCCTTGCACAAATGTTCGCAGGGGGGACACCATCGCGGACGTGCTGCTGTCGCTCAAGCACGCCGTCGTACACCCGAGCTCGCCGGCGGCGGGTGCCGGGCCCTACGGGGCCGGGCCGGCCGAAGCCCCGCCGCCGCCACCACCTCCACACATGTTCCCCACCTCGATGAGCGTCAACCTGTCCATGAACATGACCATGGGAGTGGCCGGATGGGAGCCCAGCTACGCCGCGCAGTGGGGGCCTCCGCCCTACCACCACCATCCGCAGGAAGACCTCTACGCGAGTGCTGGCTACGCGACGGACGTGGTCGCCCCGCCGCCTCCGCCCGCGCAGCACCAGGTCGTCGGAGGCCAGGTCGGTGCCGTGAGCCAGGGCGGCGTCGTCACAGGCGTACAGGGCGCGGTTCGCGGCTCCGACGGTCGTGTCAACCTGTGCGGTATCTGCGGCAAGGCATACGCGCGGCCTAGCACTCTCAAGACGCACCTGCGAACGCACTCGGGCGAGCGGCCGTACCGCTGCCTGCAGTGCAGCAAGTGCTTCTCGCAGGCGGCCAACCTGACTGCGCACCTGCGCACGCACTCCGGAGAGAAGCCGTTCCGCTGCCCGGTGTGCGAGCGCCGGTTCTCTCAGAGCTCGTCGGTGACGACGCACATGCGCACGCACTCGGGCGAGCGGCCCTACCGCTGCTGCCTCTGCAAGAAAGCCTTCTCGGACAGCTCCACGCTGACCAAGCATCTGCGCACCCACTCGGGCGAGAAGCCCTACCAGTGCCGGCTCTGTCTGCTCCGCTTCTCGCAGTCGGGCAACCTGAACCGGCACATGCGCGTGCACGCCAACGCCTCCTGAGCCCCCCTTTAATTTAAGCGCCCCCTTTTTTACGCTGCTCTCGCTTCTGGCAGACGGACCGAGCTGGCCCGAGAAGAGCTACTGCAGTATGAGAGGTACAAAATAAAAGTATATTGCTGCACATGGCCTTGCTTCATTTGCGGATGCACGTCTCGACTCCCATTGTCGTGTGAAGGTTCGACAATGGTAACAAGGTATTGAAACATTACCCGAATTGACTCATAGCTTCATAGGTTGATTGATATGTGGGGTTCAACGTCCCAAGTACAAAGGCTATGCACTAAGCCTTGCTCCACAAGGTGGCAACACCACCGTCGCGCAGAAGGCAGCTGGAGACGTTCAGGAAGTCTTCAGGCATTCAAGCCGCCGTAGGCAAGTAGATATGAATTGAACACTTATATAGCCCGGTGATAGCCCGCACAATATATTTATACATCCCTCATTGGAGTAATCAAATCCATATGAGCAATAGAGAAGACTATATCTTAGACAAAAACAACTGAACTAGCTAACTTGAAGCGAATCGCACTTGAACAAAAGCTGATTGTTACGACTAAAATAAGCATCGGCAGATGATGAAATAAATTGTTGAGCTTGTTTCTTAAATCAATTCAGCTTATGGGTTTTGTGGGAAGTAGAGTGCTCAGGAATGCTATGGACAAGAAACGGACACACTCAGCTTCCATCGGGTAAAAGAAGATTTAACATGTAGTGCAATCCAAGCAACATTAACATTCACTCTACCGTATCAAGTTATCCCGTCGGGATTAAGTGATATGTGTGAACAGTATGTGAACGAGGTTACCTTTAAGTAAGCTTTGTCACTTGAGGGATCGCGATAGTATTACAAGAAATAATAAGGCATTGTGATTGTGTTACCTGCTCTTGCGGCACTTATAATGAGTAATTATTTGAATGGATTACCCATGTGCTTGTCCAGCTACGACGCAAGTCTCAAACAGGTTTACGATTACACGACATTGAAATGCGTTTCAACTATCACAAAGGCGGATATATCGCAGGCGTATCTCGACAAAATACGGGCGTGCAGCAGACTTCGCCAATGAACGCTTCGCTGAAGTCTCCAAATTGGTTTTTCGAGTAATGTCGTTGAAAGGAAACTAAAAAGCAAAACGATTTTTCTCGTATTAGGAAAGTTTTCACAATCCCGAAAACAAGCGAGAAAACGCGCAAAAAGAAAGTACGGGTGGCGACGCCACCTTGCGATTCTTGCACCAAACACCGCATAACATAAGATATTTTGAAGGCGTCTACTAGATTCTAAGTAGCTTTTAATAGATAAAAATGAAGTACATTGTCATTTGTAGGTGTCATAGACCTTCCAAACGAAGTTTCAAAAATTTTCTTTAAGCCAATGTTACAAAAATAGCACAAATACATTTCGAGATTTCTCACGTCACGCGGGAAGATTCTGGCGCGAAATATAACAATAAAAGTTCAACTTCAATTTTTTTGTGCTAGTACATAATGAACTCATGACAGTGAAGTATTTGATATTAGAGTTCTCAGAGTGCAGTTTCTCAATCTAAACAAATTTATATACTCTTTAGGTTCATTTAATGATTGATATAGAAGATCGTACACCTTATTTGTAATTGAAACGCCGTCATAAGCCTAGATGAGAAGAAAAATGAATATCACAGCTCTGTGCCGATGTATAAATCGGAACGCTGCAGTTTCATGTAGTGAACACTCTGCTTGCGATAAGTTTGACCTAAGTTATGCATGCGATACTCGGTTGATAGAAGAAATATCAGGCACTAGTGCGGTGACCATAAATGGAGCTTATGCTCACCGCATTAGTTCGTTGCGTAGCTGAGGTTTATCACACTTTTACAAACGCGAATAGCCAACACATCAAGCGCAACAGTCATTGCCCTGATATGATCGATGCTTTGTTGTGGTCTTTTTCCTGTGTACTTTGAGGAACTGGCGTAGCTGTGTGGTTGAATACTTCACAGTATTGGTACCCTGAATTCGGGACTACTCACCACTGCCAAAAACTGTGGGGACGAGGGGTTACCACCACCCCCTTGCGACCACCAGTTAAAACTTTGATCTGGCGGGTCCCGTCATCGGTATCTAGCCCCGCCGTCAGAACCATAGCTTTTTTTTCAAAGGTGAAAGTGGGTTCATTAAAGAGAACAGAGTTTTACTCACATTGTTACACGAGAGATAGAGAGCATATTCTGTACAAAAGTGAACGTCCTGTATACCCCCGCGTCTGCTAACGTAGAGACAATTTGGAAAGGATGACAGCAGCTCCCACCAATCCGGTGTCTCACCGTCACAGTGCTCCGCCCACGCCCACCAGAAAAGGAGAGCTTAACTATTCAAGAGAAATAGAAAACCATTCATTAAGTATATATTAGCTAAGCATATTGGAGGGAACCCTCGTCCGAGTTCTCTATCGTCCCACAGCTCTTTGGTGCGTAAGGGGCGCAGGATAGCGGGAAGTGGAGGAAATAATTTTGTGACGCACTCCACCATAGCATGAAATACTGTTGGGGAGCTGCCACAGCCCGCGCAAGACTCTGCGTAGTGGGCAGCCTAGAATTTATGCATGGAGATGAGGCTGGGGAACATATACGTTTGGATTTGGTGGAGTGCCTACCCTTCCTCTCGCGAGAACGACATTGAGGGTGGGTGCATGGTGTGTCTAGCTCTGGTGTACTGTGCCAATATGTCTCCATATGTGAGTAGAGGGCCTACTTGATCGGGACTCTCGGCGTCGCCATGCCGGGATGCTCGGTGGACAAGTTCTCGAGCGACCGCGTGAGTGCTATCATTACCCGGCAGGGAGGCGTGATCAGGAGTCCAGAGCAAGTAGATACGTTGTGGGCTGGTTGTGTCGATGTTTGTCGCCTTGAGTATGATGTGGTGGGCCACCTTGGAAAAGCCGTGTCCCATTGTGAACCAGTTAATATGTAAACCTCCTCAGGAATGTCAAGAGCGTGTCGGACAGCAAGCGCAGCACCAAGGACTTCGCCATCTGCAGGATTAGAACTCTGCAAATAGGCAGCCGTGAGTAATGTTGCGTTGCCATCCAACAATACCGCGCTATACCCGTTGCGGCATCGTACAGAATCGGTATATAATGTGTTGGCTTCAGCGATGTCACTGAGCATGCGCATCAGGTACCCAACGCGGGTGCGCCGGCGTCATGCTCAGGACTAATGTTCCGGGGGAGCAGATGCACCTGCAAAGTTCGACGTACCCAAGGTGCGACACCGATGGCCGTGTCCTTCACGTGATTGTGCAAGACTGGGTATCTCATTCACGAAAGCACGGGTCGCTCAGTGGGTGTGAGCAAAAGGCGTTGCCTTTGGCTGGTCCACTGAGCTTCCAATAGTTCACAAAGTGTGTTATAGGTCCAACATTCGATGGGGTGCATGGTCGACATCGATGTCCAAAGGGGCGACAACTGGTCCACACAATGCCAACGGACGAGTCCCACGCTTTAGCGATACCATCGCGAGAACTCCCATCGAAGGTAGGATCAGGGTAATTTACTTTGGATGAGATGACGGCAGCTATTTCGAGAAACTGGAAACGATTCAATGCGTTCAGGTGAAGACATTCCTTGGTTCAATGGGAACGTCTCCAGCGGAGCCCTCTCACGATGATGCCGACTTGTTCATCCAATACTATGTATCCGAGGTGCATCAGCACCTTGCAAAAAAAAAAATGCAGAGTACAGCGCCCCTGTTCAAGCGCTGATTTCCGAGGAAAGTTTTTAACCGACAGGTCCCTGCACATTGGTGTCTGTCAAAATGAATTCGAGGCCCCTATATAACTAACTGCCATCTAGAATGTGTGGGGTCGATGCGAACTTGAGCCTCACTCGCTGTATTCCGTGCCGACCAGTTGTGCCCTCGCGATCTCCGACAACAGTGCAGCTCTGGCCGACTGGGTTGGTCCTACGCCACCTCCTGACGCCGGTCCCCTACGACGACGACAGCGTAGCTCTGGCCAAGTGGATAACCCCTATGCCATCTCGTGACGCCGACAAGAGCTCTCGCTAGTGGTGCTTCGTTCTCGGACTCCTGCAACCGTGTCTATCTTTCCTGTCTTCTTCTTACTTCCGTCGCTCCCGGTTCCTGCACCTCGCTCTCTCCTCTCTCTCTCTCTCTCTCTCTCTCTCTCTCTATTTCTCTACCCTTTAATCCTATCCTTTTATTCCCTTCCCTACCCTCATTCCTCGTGGGCTACTGTTGTGGTGTCCTCCCCCAAAGAGACAGTTACGGGGCTCACTTTTCTCTTCTTTTAATTTTTATCACTCCCCCCACCCAACTTGTGCCGCAATTTTAAAGAAGCCCCGTGACACTTTACAAATAGCCATAGAATGGATTCACTAAATGAGCCTATTGCCTTACGAGTTCATCACCGCAAAATTTTCAGATTCTGTCCAGTACGAGCTGAATTATTACATTACACGAATATCATGATTATCACGTTTGGACGTGTCATTTACCTTCTTTGTCTATTCACGTCACCTGATACCAAACTGCCGGGTTCGAATCCCGGCTGCGGCGGCTGCATTTCCGATGGAGGCGGAAATGTTGTAGGCCCGTGTGCTCAGATTTGGGTGCACGTTAAAGAACCCCAGGTGGTCGAAATTTCCGGAGACCTCCACTACGGCGTCTCTCATAATCATATAGTGGTTTTGGGACGTTAAACCCCACATATCAATCAATCAATACCAAACTCAGTGCATGTCGAGCTAGCGAAACGGCCGCGAGCATGCTATGATCGTAGCATTTATTCATGTTTCAAATGACACGCATACCAAGATTATCATGTTTGGCTGTGTCATTTACCTTCGTCGTCCATTCACGTCACGTAATGCCGAATTTCGTATATATGGAACTAGCAAAATGGCCGCGAGCACCCCATTAGCGTAGCATCATGTTTCAAATGACACACATATCATGATTATCATGTTTACGCCAGTCATTCGTATTCTTCATCCGTTGACA